CCTTGCAAAGGGCTAAGTGACGCCTGTCGGTTGCCGTAGCTTTGAGCACCATACAGATGGCAGTATGATTTGGCTCGTTTCCATCCCAATTTTGAGCGAAACACCCTAGGGATGGTCAGGGGCCTCCCACCTCTCTTCCCCTTCCACCGACAACACGAGAGGACTTGTGGTTTGACGGCTATTTAAAATACCACCTGCCGCGAAGGCACTATACATTTACAAACATCCATGTCTTCTCGGGGATTCGAGCCCAGGCCCAATGGCAAAGCAGCGTCGCTAACCACTATACTGGATGGGCCACTGAAAGAATCTTTAACATGAATTAATTTATAACAAGTGATCATATATATAACAAGTCATCTAATAACACTGTATAATGAATCACCCAATAATACTATATATAATGAATCACCCTATAACACTATGTATATTGTAATGAATCACCTTATAACGCGATATATAACTAATCACCCTATAGCACTACATAATACTTTATAAATGCTGTAAGAAAGTAGCAATCAAAGACAAACCCCACCTCAGTAAACCGTACGGTATTTGTACGCTTAACCCTTTATCTACCGATGGTACCTATAAGTACCCCTCACTTTAAAATTACATAGAATAACCATTTTTACAAATACTCGGACGAAACTTAACAGGAATATTCTTTTAAATCCAGTCTTTCCAGATATATGGCAGCATGGGTTCTATGATGAGTATTTTAGAAGGGAAGGCGAATAGTTTTAGAGCAGAAATTACGTTTTCAGCTGACAGCGTTTTCAGTGGATTGCGAAGATCATTTTTTTGTCCCGAAAAAGTAGTTCATGTCAAAAGGTAAGTGTCTTATTTTTTTATGTTAATGATGACCTTAGGAAATGATTTGACTATTTATTTTAAGTGAACAGTGTATATAACTTATTTTACAGTTGAATATCTTTAATTAATTAATTAGCTCTAACAGATTAAATTTCCCAAAGTTGAATATTTTTTTTTATGTATATCCCTTAATTTTCAATGTAGGGATTAAAAAAAATATTACATGAGGAAAACAACGTTAAATCATAATGCTGTAGAGAAAGGGTTGCAGTTTGTGTCTCGCCCCTAACGGAAGTGACGTGGACAATAGCATGCGTGTCATGTGACCAGTCAGTCAAAATGGCGGCGTTTGCAGTGGAAAATGCTTTTTGTGTTCTTGAATTTAGGAAAATTTCATGGGAGTCACTTTTTTTATGTGTTAAATCTCCTCACTTGTTGCCACAGTTGCAAGACGACATCGACAACTGGATAAAGTATCTCCACACTGGTCTGCCAAAGAGAGAGATTACCTTGAACATCTGCCTCAGCGATTTATTGGATGAGTCCCACATTACAACATGCTACTTACTCAACAGCTGCGAACAATTCCCGACTTAACACTTTACGATTTCCTCCTGCGGGGCGTGTAAAGGGCAAGGTATGCGTCCCTCCCTGTTGTTCTAGCGAAGCTGAAACAACGTATAGCAGCCACTATCGATGGAGTTGATTCAGATAACTTAACACTCGTTTGGGCGGAAATGAATAATAACTGGCTAATTTGTATGTCGTGAAACTAAGGGTTTGCACTTAAAACATTTGTGATTGTCTCTAACAAAACCTTAAGTAATCCCATACAATTCTGTTATAAACAACTTATATCTTAAATTGTTCTTTATTTACAGTGCATTGGAACTATATAATTCTTTATGAATCACCCTGCATAACAAGGGTCATCGAACAACACAACGTAATGAGTGTCATCCTATAACACACGTAACACGAGTGTCATCCTACAACACACGTAACACGAGTGTCATCCTACAACACCGTGTAACGAGCGTCATCCATCTACACCACGTAACGAGCGTCATCCATCTACACCACGTAACGAGCGTCATCCATCTACACCACGTAACGAGCGTCATCCATCTACACCACGTAACGAGTGTCATCCATCTACACCACGTAACGAGCGTCATCCATCTACACCACGTAACGAGCGTCATCCATCTACACCACGTAACGAGCGTCATCCATCTACACCACGTAACGAGCGTCATCCATCTACACCACGTAACGAGTGTCATCCATCTACACCACGTAACGAGTGTCATCCATCTACACCACGTAACGAGTGTCATCCAACAACACCACGTAACGAGTGTCATCCATCTACACGTAACAGTGTCATCCATCTACACCACGAGTGACATCCATCTACACCACGTAACGAGTGTCATCCTACAACACCACGTAACGAGTGTCATCCATCTACACCACGTAATGAGTGTCATCCAACAGCATCACGTAACGAGTTGCATCCTACAACACACGTAAACTAGTGTCATCTTATCACTACGTAACAGTCTTCCTGCAATACTAAGCTAGTGTCATCCTACAACACACGTAACGCGAGTGTCACTACGTAACTAGTGTCATAACTAGTGTCATCCTACAACACACGTAACACGAGAGTCTTCCTACAACACCACGTAACGAGAGTCTTCCTGCAATACTACGTAGTGAGTGTCATCCTACAACACACGTAACGCGAGTGTCATCCTACAACACACGTAACGCGAGTGTCATCCTATAACACACGTAACGCGAGTGTCATGCTACATCACTACGTAACGCGAGTGTCATCCTACAACACCACGAAACGAGTGTCATCCTACAACACCACGTAACACGAGTGTCATCCTACAACACCACGTAACGAGTGTCATCCTACAACACCACGTAAAGAGTGTCATCCTACAACACCACGTAAAGAGTGTCATCCTACAACAACACCACGAAACGTGAGTGTCATCCTACAACACACGTAACGAGTGTCATCCTACAACACCACGTAACGAGTGTCATTCTGCTGCACCACTAACAGTCACACGACGTAACGAGTGTCATCCTGCTGCACCACGTAACGAGAGTCATCCTGCTGCACCACGTAACGAGAGTCATCCTGTGCACCACGTGTCATCCTGCTGCACCATGTAACGAGAGCCATCCTACAACACTATGTAAAGAGTGCCATCCTACAACACCATGTAAAGAGTGCCATCCTACAACACCATGTAAAGAGTGCCATCCTACAACACCATGTAAAAAGAGTGTCATCCTACAACACCATGTAAAGAGTGCCATCCTACAACACCATGTAAAGAGTGCCATCCTACAACACCATGTAAAGAGTGCCATCCTACAACACCATGTAAAGAGTGCCATCCTACAACACCATGTAAAGAGTGCCATCCTACAACACCATGTAAAGAGTGCCATCCTACAACACCATGTAAAGAGTGCCATCCTACAACACCATGTAAAGAGTGCCATCCTACAACACCATGTAAAGAGAGCCATCCTACAACACCATGTAAAGAGTATCATCCTACTACACCATGTAAAGAGTACCATCCTACAACACCATGTAAAGAGAGCCATCCTACAACACCACGTAAAGAGAGCCGTCCTACAACACCACGTAACGAGTGTCATCCTACAACACCACGTAAAGAGTGTCGTCCAACAGCACCACGTAAAGAGTACCATCCTACAACACCATGTAAAGAGAGCCATCCTACAACACCATGTAAAGAGAGCCGTCCTACAACACCATGTAAAGAGAGCCGTCCTACAACACCATGTAAAGAGAGCCATCCTACAACACCATGTAAAGAGAGCCGTCCTACAACACCATGTAAAGAGTGTCATCCTACAACACCATGTAAAGAGTGTCATCCTACAATACCATGTAAAGAGTGTCATCCTACAACACCATGTAACGAGTGTCATCCTACAACACCATGTAATGAGTGTCCATCCTACAACACCACGTAACGAGTGTCATCCTGCTGCACCACGTAACGAGTGTCACCCTACAACACGATGTAAAGAGTGTCATCCTACAAAACCATGTAAAGAGTGCCATCGTACAACACCATGTAACGAGCGTCATCCTACAACACCATATAACATAATATAGCAAGTCATCATATAATGAATTAAGTTTTCCTTCATCCATTACAGTACGTGATCCTTTGACTGTGTACAATATTAATGTTATTTTAAGCAGCGGTGTAACAGAAAATATTAGGGCTCCCTGTAAACTCAGACTTTGGGCCCTTTAGAATCCTGCCCAACCACAATATGGGGTTTTCGGGATGTGTAGGTTACTTCACTGATTTTAAGGGCTCCAACCTTATTTTTATTAATAGGAGTTGTTTTTAAAGGGCGCTGGATATACGGGATACACTTAAAAATTATTTATGCATACACGTTTTTATTTAAATAATTACAAGCTCGCAATTTAAGCTATCATTTTGAGAGATATAAGACAATCTATTCTCGAGAGAGCTATTGTGACCACTCTCTACACTGTGGACTTATAGTATCACCAGGATTCGAACCGACGACTCGACAAGAACAATGTCGGCCACGTGTTTGGGTGAGTAAGTGAGTGAATATTAACGTCTCACTGTTCAGCTACACGAGGGCTTTTGGCGACGGACCACGTAATTTTGAGCCATGGTCAAGTGGCGTGGACGACACCTGAGCTGGCACCCCTCTCTCCTAGCTACCACACCACATCAAGCGACGTGTTTGGGAATATTACCACTCGCCCATCACAGTCATGTGTGGTTTCTAAAATTCTTAACTGAATGGTTTTTCCTAATTATTAAAATTCTCCTAATATTAAATAGTAATATAAAAAATTTAGTACCTACTTAGGTTACCAAAGAAAATTTTTATTTCAATTATTTTTTATTAAATAATTACAATTAATATAAAAATATGTATATACAGAATAATGCTATTAAGTGACAAAATAGAAAGTGATTTCCCTCGCATTTTTCTATTTTCCTTTCTATATAGAGTGTTAGACTATTAATTTGCTTGCATTTATTTATTTATTAATTTAATTTAATTTAATTATTCTAATAAAATAGTATAGTAAAAAGAAATCACATTCGCAGAAATTAGGCCATCCCAGGTGGGATTCGAATCCACGACCTTTGGATTAGAAGTCCAAAGCGCTATCCCTTGCTCTAAGGGACACAACGAGCAATTTTACTTTTTATATATTGTGTTGGACTATTATTTTTGTGTTTGTTACTATTTATTCATTTTTTAGTTAATTAATGAATTAATATTTGAAAAATAGTATTAACATCAAGTGTCATCCAGTACACTTTTAAAAAATGTATTTGAGCTTGAGTGGACGAATAAAAAGTATTTTATTAATGATTGAAAATTTGAATACATATATAGATATATATATGTACAGTCGAACCTCCATATTACGAACCTCTGTATAGCGGATTTTTCTATGTAGCGAACTTTTTCCTGGACCCAAGAACATTTCACAATTTTCTTCGTAAAATAACCTCCCAAAAGCGAACTGTATTTTCTATATAACGAACTTTTACTCTTGATTCAATTTTCTTCCACCTTAATTTTGAAGTATTTCTGGACATTTAAAGTTGTTCTACCTTTTAAAACATTTTATGCTGGTCATAAATCTTGAATTGGTTTTATAGGTGCTAACTCGCCGAGAGCAATAGAGAGAATTCTGGGCGTTTCAACCAAGAAGTGCAATCTTTAACTCGCGTTATCCAGTTCACTAGAAACATCTTCGATATCCCCTTTCACCCTCAGTGGAGTTGTCTCGTGTCCCCGTGTCTTTGAACTAGTCCCCATTCCTTTCTAGTGTTGAACCGTCGTACTGGTAACTTCGTTTCTTGTAGCTAGAAAATGCACAAACGTAAAAGCTTATGCATGAAAGTAAAAAATGTAATTCTTCAGGAAGTAGACAAGGACGTCAAAAAACTTTACAGTTTTTCTTTCTTTCTCTCTTTTTTGACAGGTAAGATGTATAAAATAAATATATATTAATTTACAAAAAGGTGTGAATTAATTACTTTTTTACTATGTAATGCTTATGAATTAAAAAAATTGTTTTATATGGCTTATAAAGAAAATTGAAAGATAACCTCTATATAACGAATTTTCCATATAACAAATTATTTTCGAGATTTAGTGAATTCGTTATGTAGAGGTTCGACTATATATATATATATATATGTATATATATAGGGAAGTGTGAACAAAAGTAGGAATTGAAGAAGAGTGTGCGATTACATTTTTAAGCATGAAACAAAAATGTGTAATTATAAAGTTAATGTGAACTTTACATATCTAAAAGAAAAAAGAATTCTTAAGAGAAATTCCAGTGGAATTTTGAAGATTTTGAGAAATGATGCACACTGGGAGTTTCATCCGCGTTTAAAAGTATTTTTTTAAAAAAAATAAGTCTCAGTTTTTTTCCATATTTATTCAAATTACACCATTTCTTGTTTTATCACCGTGTTAAACCAAAGAAACAGAAACAAAAACACTAAAAAACAAATATTCTTCAGGCTCTAACTCATAACCACCAGATAACTACCGAAGAGGAAGAAATTCCGAGTCAGAACACATGGAATAAACCAAGAAAAAATCTTTTAAAACCACCGAGGCTAAGGCGTCCGCGTATTGAACGATTTGTTCAAATAACCGAAGCCACAAAATGTTCACAAACTATAGTTCATGGCTTTTCTCCTTTCCTTTTTGAAATATCTAAAAGCAAACTGTAGCGGGATATTCACAAACAAATTTTTAAGAAACGATGTGTATTTTTTCTGAGTGTTTTTTATACCCCGGAGAAAAGTTCCATGCACACACACAGATGGAGAAAGATTTAGACGCGAGATTTTTTTGACAGGGCGACTGGTTTTGGCAGAGATTTCAGGAATTAATATACCCTGACAGAAGCGTATAAACTCCCGTTTTGTATATGGCACCATGTTACATTTGAAGACATGCCCATGCGTTTATTTTTTCTTTAGACATATTTTTATGTTTTAGTTTTGAAAGTTCTTTCTGGGGCTGTTTTAAGATAAAACTTGTGTTTTAAAATTTTAGATATCGTAGTTTATCCAAGATTTCCAGAAATATAACTCAGGGTAAAAAATGAAAATAGACTCTAAATCAGGGTTTCTCAAATTGTGGGATATGCGCCCCATAGGAGGTCATGATACCCCTACGGGGGCTCGGGCATTTCAAAAAGTCGAAAACAAGACATTATTTTAACAAAATTATTAATTTACTGAAAGGAAACAAAATAATTGTGAAGAAGTTAACACTGATATAATGATATAATAATTTAAGAAGTTAACACTGATATAATGCAATTATAAATTTATGAGTACTGCACAATGTATTTAATAATTAATTTAAAGTATCCGACTACTTGAAACAACAACTTTTTTTTAAAAAAAAATGGAGATATGGAGTTTCTTTTGTGGTTTTTAGACTTATTTAGTACATTTTAACAAAAAAAGGCTAAAATTAAGAAAAAAAAAATTATTACTACTAAAATGGGTAAAAATTGACAAAAAGTTTCCAAAACGGGGCTCACTCTGTACAAATCGTGAATGAACAAATTCTTTATTTTTCAATTTTGATGCATTACTTCGCTATTCTTTTTTGAAATCACCTTCAGGATAAAAGATATTTTAATTTTTACAAAAACTAGAGCACTTTATCTTAGTTATTATATGAAATTGCTTACGAAAAAAATTATATTCACATAAGGAACTGTAAATTTTGCACTAAAACAGTGATTGATAAATCTGAAGGTTACAACACTTCTGCTGTTTTACAGAAAGTACACAAAAAATTTCAGCACATTATTTAAAAAAAGTTTTGAGCAATCGCTGTCCCCGTTTGAGCTTTTTGAAAAAACGCATTTCGAGTAAAACGCATTTTAAAGTTTGACATCTTGTGTAAAATTTGTGACAAATCTATATGGAACTTTATCACTAACCTTCTGAGACGTCATTTTTAGGGAAATTTAATTCCCCTACCTATTTCCAATCAGCTCCAAAAAGAGGACAGGGATTCCTTATTATATGCAGATTAGATAAGGTATTTAAGTCAAACGGAATAGTAAAGTGAGAAGCAGTAGAAGAGAGAGATTGAAGCAGGAAGATATAATAGTGAAGTTAGAGATTTATTATTGAAGATTTCTAGGTGGATAAATTAATCTCAGGAAGAGTTGAGATTCAGTGTGGTAAATATTGATTTATAATTAAAGTCTCATTAAAGCTTTATATTAGGAGTGAGATTAAAGTTAAATGTTCAATAGGAATATTATTGAATATAATTCTGGGATCTCTTATTGCGGTAATCTCTGCGTGATCGATATTCTAATTGTTAATTAATTGGATCATTAAATATTTAAGTTAATATAAAGGAAAGCCCCTTTTAAACCTCATATCTATTTTAAATTATTTGTTATTAAAAGTCTTTGATTCTATTTGGGAAAGATAACCAAATAAAGAAAGTTATTCATTAAAATGGCTACTGGTTGTTCTTTGACTCAAAATCATTCTCGTTCTCAAAGTGAGATCCAAGGGGATCTTCACACTGTTATGACATCTGCTTTTTACTAAAAAACTTCTAGTTTTTCTTCTAATCTTGGTATTTTTATAAAGCTTATAAGATGGTCTATAAAATAAAATCACAAACAAATTTGTCAGTTTTTTCTTAAAAAAATCATGATTTTAGAGTAGTTGGATACCTAAACACAAGTTAAACAATACTAAGTTAAAAACAAGTTTTTTATAGCTAGTGACTCCCGTGGGCTTGCCACGTACAAAATTATATACAGAATTTACTACTTTTATTGATAATTTGTACGGTTCATAATTAAAGTCGTATTGTAACTTTAGCTTCTTCGAAGTACATTTTTATTGCATTCAATCAGTGGCGCACACAAGGGGAGTCCTGGGGGTCAGGACCCCCTCAAAGCCCTTGATTTTTTTCTCGATTGATTATAATTCTAAGTATATAGTACGAAAAATTTAATGAACTATTTGTTATTAATGATTAATTTTATTAATTAATGCGAATTATTTATTCAATAATTAGTTTTTTACTGTATTTTGTTCCCGAAAATCGACAAAAGTAGCATGATACAAGGGTAGTGAACTTTCGACCCCGGACCGCCGAGAGAGGCGCGATGGAAATTATGATTGTAAATTGGGTCGCAAATGTTGAAAGATTGAGAAGTACTACTATAAATACATTAATATATGAATGAAAAACAATCATTTAGTGGTCATTATTTTCAAAAAATCGCATAGTACTCTTTATTCTGTTACATAAGTTGGGGCAAATAAAAGTGGTCCGGAAGTGGGGATACGATTGGATAGAAATGTGACGCGTATACCAAGAGATCAAAACCGATTCAGACCTTAGTGTGGGCTATGTTAGTGAGAGTTGACCAGTGGCTATCCATTTGGGGCAATATTAATTGAGGAAGAAAAGACCTGCAGCTACTTAGAACAGGATGGTGCAACTTCCCATACATCCTGCCGAACCACGGATCCCATTTACACAATCTTCGCACCTGACAGAGTTGTTAGTAGAGATCAGTCTGATCTCGGACCTAGTGGTCTATCTAGGTCATCTCTAAGTGTGCTATTCCTTTTTGTGATGAACCCTCAAGTCTAAGGTGCATCGCAACAATCTGCGAAATCTTAAAGAGCTGCAGAAGAGCGTTTTTGATGAGATTACAGGGATTCCAGCAATCTAGCAACTTGCTGCCCAGACCCCAAAGGTGCCAAGAGATGAAAAGTGGTTATTTTCAACATCTGCTGTTAGCTAAATATCTCTTTAATTTGCAGTCTTTCTTTGTAACCTGGAACTCTGTTTTCCGGGCCACCTTTATGTGCCTGTATATATCAATCGTGAATCACGAACAACATGTAGATTTTCAAAACCTTAATTGATGCTCATAAATAATAAATGAAAAATATCTTTAAAATTTTTGTATCTTGTAAATATACCACAGCCACTGTCAGTTCATTTAAGTATCATTCACATTAACTCATTCAAGCAATTGCTGATTTTTTTCAAATTTAATACCAGTGCAAAATACATCTAGGGTCCTTTCACACGAGTCAACTTGTGCCGCACATTACAGAAGGAGCAGACGATCGGGTGCTTGTTT